CCTACAGAGGTGTTCTCTCAGGTAAAAACATAGTGGTTTTGTTATTTGCAATTTTTCCATATTCACGAGGGTTGGACTGGATGGCCCTTGTGGTCTCTTCCAACTCTTTGATTCTATGATTCTAAACAGTCCTTTAAAAAAAATCAGGCATATAAGAATATGCTCTGAACTGCAATAAAGACTTGTAAAGAGCTATTGTCCATGCATCATCTGTCATTTTCCAGAGACTGGAAAAATGGCTCTTGAGGAGTCCCATATTTTTCCAGCAACCATAACCATTGGCCATGCTGGCTAGTGAGTCCCAAGAGATGCAGTCCAAAAAAAGAACATTTCCAAAGTCTTGATCTTGCTCCATTATCTTTAATTTTTCATAAAGTCTTTAATGAGATATTGCTATAATGCTGTGGACTTTACAGATCCATCACTATTTTACCTTGTACACTGCATTGCCAGACCTCAACAGATTACAAAAGGCTTGTTATAAACTTCAAGCATATGTGATTGATTTGTTTGGAAAAGGTAGGTTGAAATATAAGGGTGTTTTGGGGTTTAATTTGAAAGCCTAATTTTTTTTTGGAGAAAATGATTTCAGAAATATCTCTTTCTCCGCTTAAGGAATGCATTTCCTGCTTTGACTTGCTCCACAAATATATATAATTTTTAAATTACAGGTTTGTGTCAAAGAATAATTTTGTCCAAGTTTTTCTGTCTTTGGGAAACACAGCTTCATTGTTGCATATAAATTATGGGATGCAGCCAGGCATGGAAAAAATGTATTAATCGAAGCATTTCCCCTTCATAGAGAAACAAACACACATGGACAGCTTAGTATGTCTGGGAAGCTATGTGACAGAGGTGCTGGTGAACAGGAAAAAGAGAATTGGAAGGTTTGATCAAGGCTGAAGAAAGATGAATTTTGGCTGGAACAACTTCTTCCTCTACATACTTCTCTCTGTCCTACTGCATGATGATTATTGTGGATTTTCCCATGGGCACACCCCAGTGCAAAGTGAAAGTCATCCCTCTTACCACTTTTGGACAGAACTATTTATTCTGTCAACATGTGTCCACATGAGCATATTTCCATGTGTTTTTCAAATCACTTTTATTCCCATGATTCCTGTTAAATGGCTTTTGTATACTTTCAGTTGAGCCAGTATGGTTATTGTTTTCAGTCTTAGAGCAGGACTCTGGGAGACTGGGGTTCAAAGCTCCACTCTGCCATGCAAAACCACTGGGTGACTTGGAACAAGTTACATTCTCTCAGCCTCAGAGGAAGGCAGTGATAACATTCCTCTGAACAAATCTTGAGAAGAAAATCCCATGATGGATTTGCTTTAGTATTGCCATAAGGCAGAAAATGACATAAAGGTTCACAACAAAAACAACAACAAAAATACTTACAGCTACATGTCAATATTAAGTGACAGTCAAGTAATCTCTTTGACAATCTCTAATGACTGAGATGCTAGTAATCCAGACCTTTGAAGGACCTGGTGACAAACAAAAAATAATTGGTGACTTGTTATTAATTTCTTTCCCCAGTAATAGAAATATAACATTATTACATTACAATTGTAATTTAATAGGGGTATTTTCATATTTAAATTGCCCATTGTTTAAATCTCCACAATGCTCTGGACCAACACTAGACCGAGCAATCCAGGGGTACATCTACATTGTATAAATAATGTAGTTTGACACCACTTTAACTGCCACGGCTCCATCCTGTAGAATCCTGGGATTTGTAGTTTTGTAAGGCACCAGCACTCTTTGGCAGAGAAGGCAAAAGCCCTTGTAAAACAACAAATCCCAAAATTCCATAGGCTGGAGCTACAGCACTTAAAGTGGTGTCAAACTGCATTATTTCGACAGTGCAGATGCACCCTATGGCAATTTAAAATGGCAGATGACTTTTCACCTCATAAGTCAAAGGGATGGGCCAAAGCAGGTGTCAGCACCTGTGAGTCTTGAGTGCAACCCAACCTGGATTGTAACTGTAAAATAGGTTGCTGCCCTCTGGCATGGTGAAAAACAATTCAGTTGCCAGTCCAGCTGGCTTCTGTGTATATAGAACAAAGGAAGTTGCCATCATATCCTTTGTTTCAGGAGCAAAGCATCCTGAGGATCATTCAGATGTTAGTTTGTTTGTTTTTTAGTGGAACAATTTGAATAATCTCATGCACGCACTCCGGGTTTGTTATTCATACCATGGATCCGTCTCTATGCACTTCTCTGGGAGTTTGGTTGCTCACACGTGCCAGCACTCAAATAAACATGGGGTTGACAATGCGAATGTATTCAAAACACATTCAAGTCATTCAGTGTTTAATCCCGAATTATCCCAGGTCTATTTGTATCGGTTATTCAAACTGCCAATGAAGCAAATCTTTTGAAAAAGCTCAGGAGGAAAACCCAGTATCAATTATCCCAGGTTATGTGGGGTTTTTTGCAGTCCCCCCAAAAAATTAATTTGGAACATTCAGGATGCATGTAGACAACAGAGATTCAACCCGGATTCATCCAGAATTATTTTCACCATTTGCATAGGGCCCTGAACTTCAACTAAAGCACTAGCTTTTTCTCTACAAGTGGAACTGATCCTTGCAATGGGCCACTAGAAAATCATTGCAAAAGTAGATTCTTCCTTATTGTCAAGTTGGGCTTCATGGTGCCAATTTAGTTCGACTGGTGGAACCTCGCACGTTTCTTTTCAATTGAAATGCATTGCTTCATTTTGACATTCAGCTTGTTTCATGTTTTTATTGGGGGGGGGGTACAGCCAAAAAGAGAACAGAGCAATCCTCCTGTATGACCCAAATCTGATAGAAAGAGTAGTTGGCTCCTGCCATAGACAATCATAACATCTGTTCAAGACCGCAGTGGTAAGAGGGATTGCCATAAGACTCTGCCAGAGAGTTTGGGGTTTTCCTATCTTGCTGATTCAGCAAATTCCATAGGAAAAAAACCCCACTGCAGCATTCCAAAGGGAGTCCTTTGCTGTGAAGAAAGACCAAATCTTGCTTCCTTGATTGTTTATTTCCAATATCTCAGACTCAGAACCAATTGTAAATAAGGCCTTGCTAGGTGGAAAGTAACGGCAATTTTGGCAACAACAACCAATGCTATCATTAGGACACACTGACGCAGCCTCAACAGTCTGGAATGTGGGACTTAGCATTGGTTGTATTCAGTGCTAGATAGATGTACTCTATTAAGGAGGTCACAGGCATGAATTTGCAAGGATAGGGAGTCTTGGAGATGTCACATCCACAGGGTCACCATGAGTCAGGATGGACTGGAAAGTAGCTGAACATTTGTCTCTTGTAAATGCACCATTTCTGGTTTGTTAGGCTCAGCCACATCCTCTCACTTCCTTCATCAGCTAATCTTCAATTAGTCTGAATGTGTTTGTCCTCCATTTTGTAATCTGTGGTTTGTCTGTGCCATGTTTGAAGAGCACATTTCAGAGCCTCTCAGCATGAGATGTTAGGAAGCTTTTAATATTTGTATAGAAAACTTCATATGTTTTGCAACTATAATAAGGCTGCTTTATTTCTCTACTAGACCCAGGGTGGGGATGTGGGTGAGATGGGACTGGTTGTTGCTCACGTTCTGCTTGTGAGATACATTACTATCTCTCCCATTTCTCAACAACGGGAAGCAGTGACAAAATGCTGAAGGACAAGGCTGTTGCAAAGCAAATTTCTCTGTGCCTCCCAAGTTAAGCAACTTCTGGAGGGCTGTTATAGTTTTTCTACCTGATTCTGCTCCTCAGAAACAAGACATTTTACCTTTAATAATTTAAAAGAGGGTTCCCCATCTCACCAGTTGTTTGATGACAATCTTTTATTTTAGCAAAAACATGTTCCTACTGAGTACACATGTTCCCACTGCTAACAAATTATTCCAGCGACAAACCCTTTTAAAAGCCAACACAGAATGCCAAGGGGCAGCTTCTACTTTAGGAAGTCAAGGGTTATGATTTGCAGTTATATTGCTGTTGCCTTCAAGTCAATTCTGACTTATGGTGACCCCAAGGTGCAGTTTTCTTGGCAAGAATTGTTCAGAGTGGAGTTTGTCATTGCCAGTGAGCCAATGTGGTATAGTGGTTTGAGGGTTGAACTGCAATTCTGAAGACCAGGTTTTGAATCCTGGCTCAGCCATGTAAACTCACTGGGTGATCTTGGGTAAGTCACACTCTCTTAGCCTCAAAGGATGGCAATGGCAACCCCCCTCTGAAGAAACTTGCTAAGGAAACCCTATGATAGGTTCACCTTAGGCTTGCCATAAGTTGGAAAAGATTTCAAGACACACAGTAACAACAACACCCTCTAAGAAGGAAAGAGTATGACTTGGCCAGTGTCATCCAGTGTATTTCCATGGCCAAGAGGAGTTGAAACCCTGGTTTCCTAGAGTCCTAGCCCAACACACAAACAACTATATTGTGCTGAGAATCACCCAGCTTGTATTAAGGGAATGTTGTTGTGTCATTTCTGACTCGGAGAGCGTGTAAAGGTTTTTCTTGGTAAGATTTGTTCATAAGAGTTTTGCCATTGCCTTCCACTAGGGCTGAAAGAGAGTGACTTGCCTAAGGAGTTTATCGCACCCAAAATAAAAGCAACTTATCTCTCCCAGGTTAGAGTCACTTACAGGATGCAGCCAGGTAT